TTACAGTCTTGAAACATCAACCCCTTTAAAGCACCATGACAAGGTGTTGGATGCTTTCCAACAACGCTGTCTACAGAACATTTTGACTGAGCGATAATTCCGATTTTCGATCGAATGAAGAGTATAAAGATCTTGGAGACGATCGGCCTGTGAATGCTGTCTGAGGAAATCAGGGACCGGCGTCTGTCGCGGTTCGACAGAACCACCCGAAGAAAAAATCGAGACTTATCCAAAACCACCGTCCTCTTGGAACACCACAGGCGCGTCGGAGGTCAACGTCATACCTTAAAGCAGAAGCGGACTTACTTACGACGAGAAACATGCCCTTTGCCACAGCAATCAACATGGCCTAAAACATTCTGAGTATCCAAAGCATAAGACATCATTAATCTGGGTACTCTGTCCTTGACCCTGATACCCCAGATGACGAGGACAGCACGACAACAAATTGCATATGCTAACAAAATACTGGTTTCAGAGTGCTCATTATGTAGAAACTGAACTTTCACTCATACCTCAGTCACGTATTTAATGTTTAGGTTGACTGTAACACTGCAAATACAAAAATCAAGTGGATTAAGGCAGTGCGAAAGGCGCCACATTTGTATTTTCTAAATCGCACATTATGCTTCCATATTTCTGCCTGCATCTTGTTAAACTTTTTTATGGCATTCTTGACTGTTGATTATGGGGCTACAGCTGAATCTTTCTAATCTTGTGACAACGAAACACAATCAGCAATAACGGCAGAGAGTGGTATCCTAAGATGTTTCGTTAACTAAGTACGAACGAATAACCAACGAAATAAAATGACAGCTCGGTTGAGGGTTTGTAATACTTCTAGACCTACTATATCTTATTAGGCAACATAAGCTGCTCGTACACCCGAGTATGTCAAAGAACGGACAATTTCTCAAATACCAGATTTCCTCGCGTATTGCACCGCCCCTGTTTCTAGTTACCTAAGGTGATTGTTTAATCAGGCCACTGCTCCCAGGTATTTGAACACCTGCATTGCTATACGCGGGTCTAGAACCTCTTCAGGTTCATCACAAAGGATGTTTTAGGAGTTTTCAATTTTTATGCTACCGCATGAGCATCATAGCTGTTCATATGTCAAATGAATATGTCAAATGATGAATGATTACTCCAACACTGAATGACGCGAGATGCATCTGGCACTGGAGATGCTCAAACAGCACGGAGCCTGTATAAATGCTCCCAAGCAACTTGTAGCAAGAAGGCGGTGCAATCTGCTGTGAAATCTAGTCTTGGAGGAGTTATTCGTTAATTGCATATTACTACGCTTAATAAACCAATTTCTTTTGTCGTAGTTGCTCAATCGAGTCATGAACTCTTGGATTCAGTCAGTCAGTTCCAATGAAGCTTATGATTTCTGACTGGTACGCAATGTCAGACGTTGTCCCTAACGCTTCCGATCTTGTGCGTAACGTGTGAGCAGGCCGTCGTGGCACATGCATTAAGCCATTCATGGCCGTCCCGGGATCTTCGGCCGGTCAGTAGTAGCTGTGTCGCGTTCCATTCTAGAAGCATTCGTAAAACGTGCCCAAATGAGAAGAGTCATATCTTCTCAATCTGAAGAAGCTACAACTGCACACCATGGCTTTTCCGATATCTGAACTACAGACTCTATCACAACACGCGAGCCTAGCAATTCGTCACACTGAAAAACAATTTATATCGCTTCTCCTTGGAACACAGTTTTCAAGTCATGACCATGACTCATGACCGCAGTCACTGCATTACTCACGGTAAGTGCCAATGGCTAACATTGCACATGAATCTGATGCCCTTATTCCAGACGCTGCCAAAACAGGATCGTGCGCGAAGAAAAAAATTTTATGATACGGTTATTTCATAGTACCATTTCTTGGAAAAACGGAACCCGGGAACTTGTTCATAATTTCTGAATGAAAAAGACAACCTTGTTCGGCCCGGGCAAGTGATGCGGTTCTGCATCCATACACTGCAGGAGCTCAAATACAGAGGATTCGTGGCCTATTTAAATGGTCCCCTAGGCGACTAAAAGCAAGGAGAGGTGCCATTACGCCGCTTCAGTCCGGTATCAAAAGAGAAGGGGCCTGAACAGCACTATTCATATAAACTTGTTCGACTTGTTCAGTCAGTCAGTTCTCACTAATTCTTATCCTTTCAGGTCGCGGAGGCAGACGTGCCAGACGGTGCTTCAAACCTTCCCAATCCTGTGCCAGCGCTTGAACTTCGGTAGAAAATAACCCGATTCTGCAGCAAAG